AGGTCTCCTTTCTAATGCTGTACATACAAGTCCTCAAGGGAAGAGGGTCGCAGTCTGTGCCAATTGTCAGTGCTTTCTGGAAATACTAGAACAACCACATTTCCCAGTTAAATTAGCTTTTCCTATCCAGCTATGTCTTTTGACCAAGTCTGAATTTTAGAGCAAAAATCCCGCCAGTGACCCAGCACAAAACTGAGGAGGTACCCAAGGATGAAATAGCACTGTCATATATGCATGACAGAGAAATATATTTCCTTTGCTACTTTGCATGAAAAAAACATCGTGAGGTGCCAACAGCTTCAGCTTCTCCACTCTAAGCACGAACATACAGAGGCTTTGACCAAAACCCCCATCTTTTACACACCTATTCCACAGTCAGAAGCAGAAGACATGAAGATATGTGAGTAGACACAATTTTCTTGGCCAAACCGCACTTGTCAAGGGCCAGTTTCAAAGAATTTTTTGAAACCGGGATTCCCCATCTCACAATTACCTGACTCAGAAGAAGAGCTGGTTTCTGGTATTCTCACACCTCCCTAATGGATAGCAGCACATCCACAGCTGCCAGCAAACACAGTGGGGAAGTGTGCACATATTTGGGATTCATCCATTAGCAACTCCTGGCTTCCTCCTGCACCTCACAACCCACAAGAAGCACCATAGCACCAACATTTCTGTGCCTGATCCCCTGCTTACAAATGCCCCTTGTAATGGGAAACTGCTGGGAAGACAGAAAGACCCGCTCTGTAGATGGGATGGAGAATATTGAGGATATTCCCCAGACCGTTTATGGGTCTCAAGGCCTCCAGAACCCTGCAAAGCAGAAGTCCCACAGGTCCACATCCATTCTCCATACACACATCTGACCCAAGACTAACTCCACTGTTGTCCTGAGCCTCCTGTTTCACAGAGCCTAATGCCACTCACATTTTCCGTAAAACCAAGAAGTAGATTCAAGGCCATATTAGGCATAGTTAGAAGATACTAAATGGAGGTTCCAAGAAGTCTGAGCCTTTTCCTGAGCATTGACAGCTATGTCTGAGTCAGCCTTGCCATTCTATGCTGAGTCACTTTAGACCTGAAGCATCAGCAGCAAGCAGAGAGTGAGGAGAAGGAAGAAGCAAGGGAGCACAGCCAGGAGAGGGTATGTTACAGGAGCAGAGGGCACCAGGTTGGACCTCATCTCAGCTCTTCTGACGTTTGTTACTGGTGGGAAAAGTACTCTGAGAATGCAATTTTCGTGAGGGTCAGTCAGCAAGAGGAGAGAGAAGGACTGTGGTACTCAAACACAAGCAGGATACTCAGGAAGCAAGAGTGATGTCCCAAACTAGGATTGCGTTTTGGAGTGGTCTCATGCCAGAATATGTGTGTGTGTGAACATGTGCATGAGCACTGTGTGTGCATGCACACACTCCACGCAGTTTTGTTTGGACTAGGCATATTTTGGCAAAGTCAACAACAACTAATTGCAAACAAACTGCATTTATATTCAGCCCTCAAACCAGCTGCTTTCAAAGCTGCACCAGTGGGAATTAAAAGCCTCACTAGCTGTTGCTACATGACCCAGTAATTTCGGATGCTATACCTTCTATTTCATCACAGTGCTTTCCCCTTTCTGGCCAAAATGAACAGTGAGGTGCTGAGAGTCTGTTCATCTACTTATTCAGGGCTCAGCACCACTTTTCAGGAGCACTATATAAATTCAGAAGTTGCCTGAAATAATAAATAACTGTGACAGGTACAGAAACAAAGCATGTAGCTCTTGAGCTAGTGTTTCCTCCTCTGGAGAGGTTTATGTTCCCTCGTGTCTGCAGAACAGAACATTCCAGCGATGTTTCAGCACTGATGGGCCCTGAAGCCTCAGCCAGGAGAAAAGTCAGCTTTCTGGCAGGAAACCCTGACTAGCTCCTGGAACTGAGTGAAGAAAAGGAGAAAAGATGAAATACTTTGTTTACGGTATCATGACATCACCATCATCACTGGAGAAAAATGCAAGTTCATCTTTCTTCCCTGGGATGGTCTGTATGACCCAAATGATTAGCCCTGCTGGATAACACAGCAGTGTCCTTCCCTTCCACAGAGAGCTCGGGGGCCGCAGCACAGGCACCAGCAGATGTGTTTGACCTTACGGCCACCGACTTCAACAGGTTGCATACGCAACCCAGAAAGCTCCCAACACTGAATTCCCTTTGCAAGATGTGATGTTTTTCCTCTTGAGTCAAGCCTAAACGTGCCTGCAGAGCTGTTGACTGCTTCCTGGCAAGTTGTACCATCACCGAGGACAGTGTATGGGCTCTGTGGGGACAGGGAAGGATTGCTGCTCCCAAAGTGTTTGCATCGTTCGCTGCTTTAATCATTAGCATGTGCTGGCACTCAGAACAGAGGAGAACATGCCCAGGCATTTACAGAAGGTAAACCATTTCATCCAGAGGAAACAGTTGCTTCAACTGGCATCTGTCACTCAGGTACACAGAGGAGTTGTGGTTCTCTGGAAAAAACCTGCCTCCAAGGAAACTTAATATGGCTTAATTCAAACACGTCTAGAATAGCAAAGTCTTCTCCATGAATGGTTTCATATCCCTCTTCCTTTTACTTCCCTTCTAATCCTGTCCCTCCACACTCCAATTATTTGTAAGTGGTCTGCTATTTTCTATATATCTGTTTCTGTTCTCTGGTAACTGAACAGTTGTTCAAGATTTCATGGACAGGAAAAGCCAGGATACCCCAGCACATCACATTTTACCTTTTTTATTTCTTCCTGGGTTTGCTCCTATAGCTTCCCACTAGATCAGGTCCACCAAAACCAGTTTTAGGCTTCATGACAAAGAGGTTGAAAGGAAAAGGGCGGGTTTTCTACCAGAAACAGGGGCCACTGCTCTCTTCTGGGAATGAGAAGTGTCTGAAAGCATGCAGAACTGCTATGACTGACAACCAGAAACGTACTAAAAATACAGTGGCAAATGGCAACATAGTCAGCTGAGACATCCCTACAGTGAGCCTTCCTCCACCTGACTGGAACTCAGATTGAGTTGTCAGAAAGCTCCAGTAAATCTTCATGCTCACACAAGACCAGAGCCAGGGGAGTGTTTTACTGCCCTGAGAAGGAATGGAAAATTGGAGCTCCAAAATCCTTGCAAAGGGATCATCTCAGGAGGGGAAATGGTGTGGATCAACTGAAATGTTCACTCTGTTTTAATACTACAGACAACAGCAAAGCAAGATAAAACTGTAAAAAAATCCAGATCTCATGCTTTATGTATTTGAAACCACTTGGAAATGTTTTCAGGATTGAAACATTTAATGAATTGGCCCTTGTACATACAAATACAAACAGGTTATCTTAGATCAACATTTTCTTATTACAAAAACCCAGTCAGAAAACTTCTGGCCAGACATTTTACATAATTACAACTCCAAAAAAATGCCAAATGAATAAAGAAAAAAATCCTGGCAAAATAAAAATTAATATTTTAAAACAGTAATTCATTAAGACAATGTGGAAGCTCCTGTGGAAGTCAGGGATCAGTCATTTCAAGGCACTGGTAGGAGCCCAACAAAAATGTGTTCAGTAGGAATAACATCTAGTGCAGAGATACCATATCCTTAAGCCACGTGTGCCAGATGGACTAAAGATAATTTGATATCAGCACTCTATTTTTTCATTATTATCTGGGGAAAAAAACTCTACTCCCACCCTGCTGCTGGGAGCTTTGTCCTGGATGTGAGCAAAGCACCCAAAACTGGAAAGACTCAAAGGATCTCAGTAGGCACTGCTGCACACCCTCCCTGGACACAGCCTCATACCAGCCCCAAACAACCCAAAATAACCTGACTCTGTGCATGTAGACAGGCAGAATAATTCAGAAAGACCAGCTGAAAAGGTCATTCCTTTGTGTGAATTCAAGGGAATTTGAGGGACAGTAATTCATTCAAATGTTGACTCAAAAATGACATTATGGGCCTGTCCTTCACAATTGCTTCAAGAGTAATTTTAACCTCAACAGTTTCTTTAATTGAATCCGATTTAGATGGGAGTCCACCAACACTTCATTTTTATTTTAATTTTATGATTCAGTTTAGCATTTAGCTTCATTTGCAATCTGATTTTATTATACTTGTTGCTAGTGGAAAATATATCCACGTATTACCAACACTACATAAATTCAGATGTTGTCTTAAGAAACATTCTCACACGTATGAGAGGTAACATTTCATATATAATATGCCTACTTGTTGATAAGACTTGTTGCACGACTCAGTGCCATGATCTTTCCAGAGGAAGTATTGTTTCATGCATACTATGTCACAAAGGCAAAGAACTGTGACCTTTCCTGCTGCTGTAACTCGTGGTATCTTTGGGATGCATCCTCAGAGAGGTAAAGATGATTCAACCACACACTGTGCACTTGCTCCAGCACAAGTGTTGATGTGAGAATATATTGCTTCACCAAAGAACTGGTATTCACATGTCTTCAGGACTACTCTTGTATGAACAAAGGGCTCTGTTTCACAGACTTAATTTCCCTTCCCATGTATATTATAGACCCTGAAATAGACTAGAAGTGGTTGCACTGCACTGTTTGCTAGCTAAAGGCAGTCAGAAGAGATGTAATATTTCCAGAAGACCTGAGTATTCATGCTGCAGTACCATAGTATCCACTGCAGTTTCAATAGGAAGTAAACCGAAGCCAGAAGGGCTGTGATTATACCTTGAAGGACACTTTCCAGGCAGTGGGGATAATACAGGGTTGCATCAGGCACCCTGGATAGTCTGCAGGGTCTCACATCACCAGCCGTGAGCCAGAGATGATGTGGGTGCAGCCAAGTCTAGCTCCACAGCTGAATGGAGGAGGTGACTTTTTAGGAGGGCTTTTTTAGCCCTCTGATTTTAGACTCACACCCAGAATTTAGGTTTCAGGATCTGTCTGTGGAGAGCATGACTTATCAGACACATCTTCACTGTTGTAAACCAACTGCAACCACTGCATGAGCTGCCTTACCTGATGCACAGTCTGGTTTCCCAAACCACGTGAAGCTCCACATTCTTGGGATCAGACAGGCATCTACTGCAGAACTACATGGCTTCAAATCAGACTCACTGTAATAGAAAACAAGTAGGTTAGTCCAGATTCAAAGGCCTGCAAGGCAGATCATTTTTGAAATTTAGATTTAATTAATTATCCTTTTTTCCCCTGCTGTAATCCAAGAGCTTTTGTAACATCTGAAACTTTTATCAAAATTGACAATGGTATAAATACCTCCCTGCCAGTTCCTAGAGTGCTAGCAAACAATCTTTCATCAAGCAAATGAACACTTACAGACAGAGCAAGATATAAACACCCATATGTAAAGCACATTCTCTGGACCGGGTCCACCACTAGAAAAACCCTCCTGCTCCCCTGGAACCAGCAACACAAACTCCCTTTATATGTCTTAAGTGTCCACAGTCCAAACAATAACACGTTAGCATGCTCTTGACACTGCTGTCAAAATAAACAGCTATTTATTAACATTCTACAACGCATTATTTTTAAAAGAAATCAATCGAGCAAATATGTATCCTTCTGTTCCAGAAAACAGCATCTCCCTTTTACTTAACATCTGGTCCAGATAAGAGCTGCCAAGGACTAGAGCTAAGAGTCACAGTGATTGCTGTTACTTGGTGGTTGCTTGAGTATTTCTGAGAACAACATTTTTTCTCTATATGGTATCACTGCCAACTATTCCCTGGGATCCTAGGAGGACAATGCATTCCCTTTCTGCTCTTACTGGGTAAACGGAATAAAAGCTGAACATGGTGCTTGCTCTTACCCATCAAACCTGCACTAAATATAAAAAGATATTAAAAGCTGCCTCCCCCTCTCTCTTTCTGAGGTGAAAACTTCCCCATCTTCACACGAAGAGACTTTTGCTGCCTTTTGTTCTCGTTGGTAAAGCAAATTTAAAGATATCAAGGAACCTCTTGAGAAAACCAAGAGAGGAAGTGTGAATGCAAAATGAACCTACAAACAAAAAGCTATTTTTAGTGCTGGGGGGAAACTCTTAGCATTGGACAAACAATACAAGGAAGTTTCAGACACTGACTGCTCGAGAGACCTAATATCCCCTTGTCACTGCCCCGCCTAGTCTGGATACAGGAATGCTCCTGTATTCTCAGGCTTCTCACAACCCCCAAATTATTCACCTTCCCCTTAGCATGGTGCAAAAGTTCAGGGCTTAGGCCAAGAGCCACCTGGTTGGCTCATGCACACAACCCCACCCTCCTGTTGGCACAGGTGATCCAAGGTCATGGCGTGGCCCTGATGGGACCTTGGGCTCCATGGTAGTGGTGGGGATGGGTGGTGGGACTTCCATTTCCACCATCACCAGACATGGTAGTAGAGCACAGCTGGGAGCTGAGGCCAAAGAGCAAAGCAAGTCTTGTGTACCCAGGCACAGAATTAGAGCAGAGCAGCTGGGCAGAAGCAGAAGAAATTACATGAATAGCCTTGGAAGAATCCAAAAAGGACCCTCCTAAACACTGAGCAAAATATATATAAATGGAGTCCCATTGGTGCTCAACAGCTGAGGATCTGGCTGTTAATTCAGGACATAACAGTAACACTTTGGGAGCCCCCACTGACTCCTCTTTTCCTCCTAGAATTTCCACTTTCCACTCCCCTAGGCAACACAAATAATGTGTTTGTCAATCAATTACCAATATGCAAGTTCTTTGGAGTGGAAAGCTTTTACACAAGGGTTTGTCTAGTCTATTTACTCCTTACTCCAGCTACATTCCTGTTTATTCATTTACAACCAGAGTGAGTACCAAATGGTCAAGAACAGCCTGTCTTCCAAGATCAGTGAAATAAGAGTACACATGAAGGATGCTGTTTCCCTTGAAATTTCTCCCAGATCTTTGTATTTCCCGCAGACCTGAACCAGTGTTCAGGGAAGAGAAGATCCTGGGACAGTAATTTGATCGAGCAGATAAGTTTCTGCTCTTGCTGCTGAATTTGCTATGAGCTTACAAACACTTAAAGCCAGGCTTGACAGACGGGGTCGATCAGAAAGTGCATGCAACGTGAAACTGCACAAAAAATAGAAGCTATATAGGATTGCTCAAGTCCTTATCTGGCCCTGGTGCCTATATAGACTCATGGGAGGTCAGTCAGGGACATTTTGCAGATGTGCCTGCCAGTGGGAGAGAGGGATATTTACTGCATTGTAACAAACTGAGCCTCAGACAGGAATGTGCCATTCCTGGGACAAAGTTCAGCTTTGTACTGGGCCACAACAGCGAAAGTGTAACCAGCAGGTTGAAGGAAATGGTTCTTCTACTATTCAGCACTGGTGAACCCAAGTCTGGATACTCCATCCAGGTTTGGGCTTCCCAGGACACAGCCCTGAGGAAGGGGATTGAGCCAGTGAGGCCATAGAACATAGCATGAGAGGAGGGAACTGGGCTTGTTCAGGCTGGGGCAAAACACTGATGTAGAATCAGTGAGATAATGAGTGATAACAGAGAAAATGAAGCTTGGTCTCTCAAAGACGCACAACTAAAATACAAGTTGCAGCACAGGAGGTTCAGATCAGCTACAAGGAAAAAACAATTTTGCCCTGAGAGTGGTAAAACACTTGGCCTAGAACCCAGAAATTTTATATCTATGTAGTTTTTCAACTAATCTTTATCAGTTATATAGGGAAAGTCCTCTACACCCATCAGGCACTCAACTCTCTTTGACCTGCTTAGGTGTGTCTAGTCTGCTCCAGGAAGCCTACTTGTTTTTTCAAATGTCACTTATGTCACTGCATCACTTGGTCAATTTTCAAAGAAAGTCACCTTTAATTTTGGATTCCAATCCTCTTCTGCTGGCTTTTTCAAATTACTTTGTTCCACAGATACTTTGTCCTTGTCTTGTTAAATATCCCCTGCTTGAGAGGACAGGGTTGCTGGTTGCTGCTTCTTTCTAAATGATTTTCACATGTTTTTTAGTGATGTGGGGGGCAGTGATTGCAAAAAGCCTTCAAAGAGAAAATAGGAAGAATTTATTTCTGATCTGGCTCTTGGTTCCAGTCCTTGGTTGCTCTGTATCTGCAAAGGGTTAAGGATTAGCTGATGGAAAACATTTGAGCAGCTCTGATAACAGAGCATAGCAAATAGTGGCATCGGGCTCACAGCACTGCTGGTCACACATTGCGAATCACAGGCAGTACCAGCCTCATACCCTGCATGTTTCTGCTTCTGGGCTGTGCTGACTCCTGCAATAAGTCACCCGTCACTCCCAAGAATGCTTTGGGATAATTCTCTCCCACCCACCAGCTGACAGATCTGTAGGCATGCATCTCAGTGTTCCCCCAAACCTGTGATATTACCCAAACAGGGGAACCTGCTGTTTCACAGCAGTCACTCCAAAGCCCAGCACAGCCAGGAGGTTTAATGGAAACTGTGCACTGAACACTTGGCTAAAAATTTGTTCAGCTTTTTGTGGAGATTGTTTGATAGGGCAGCATGAGTATGCTAGGGAGTGGTGCACAAGCACAAAGATGCTGCAGCCTGAAAACTAAAATACCCTGTGAAAGATGAGACACTCAAGGAATAATAAAATCAGAGAATATCCTCTATATTTTATCCTTGCTGTTTTCTGCCCAAGTCCATGGGTCTGTATTGTAGCACTGGCTTGAGACACAGCAGTGTTCCTCATGCAGCATCTAAGACTGCCACATGCACAGGCATATTTGGGCAGCCAGGACCAGCCTCACACCCCGGGGAGCCCAGATGTTGGGCACAGCTGGCACCCACATTAGGAACGGCTCTTGAAGTTGCTGAGGAATTTGACCACTGTTGAAGTCAAGAGTAGAGTGCAAAAATGCTTTCTGCTCAGTCTTATGCTTAAATTCCAAGACTGCACCTCACTCCTCTCTGTTCCAAAAAGAAATAGCAGTGCCGCAACCATAATTCAATGCAGCTGTTGTTAAACAATGCTGGGGATATGTAAAAATTGGTGTTACTGTGCACATACACTTCACCTCTGGAATTAAGCTGCCTAGTTTCTATCCACTAACATTCAAAACTAGCTCTTTTCCATCTTCCTCCAAAGACAAGCACAATGGTCCAGGTACAAAGCAACCTAATGACATTGATGTCAGTGGGAAAATCCTGACCCCCACAGCACTGTGCTGATTCACAGGGGTTCACTGAGCTGTGAATCACACCCAAGGGTGGACAGAGCCCCTCTAACAGTGAAGTGACACCTAATCTCCCATGACACTATTCGCTGGTTAACCCAAATGGTGCCTCCATGTCCATGTCTACAGAGGCAGCAGCTGCTGCAGCATGAAAGCAGGAATTGTTAGTGTGGATCAGGCCCACTGCCCGTTTAGCCCAATATCTTGTCTCAGATGTTGGCCAGCACGAGCTGCGTCAGAGGAAGGTGTGAGGCACCCATGTGAGGCAGATGTCATCCCTCACTGCAGCCTGCCCGCCTTAGGAAAAGATGAAAACAAATGAGTTTATAACCTTTTGTCAGCCTGTCCCAAGGATGTAACTTCACAAATATTTAGGTCAAATGGGGCACACCCTGTGCTGCACAGAAAGACAAGAGGAGAAACCCCAGCACTTCAACTCTCGAATGCCACACTCTGTGTGCTAGATAAGATAAACTAGTGACAGTTACTTGCTGTCACTGTGGCTGCTGGTCTACTGGCTTAGCCTGGGAACCAAAAGCGGCTTAGGACACAAGTGAAGCGAGTACTGCCAGCTCAGTGAGAGCCATCATTTTCCACATGACAGTCACAAAAAACTACAGTTTTTCAAAGAAAAACGAGGATGAAGGTAAGCTAGACTAGCTAAACTAGCATGTTTAAACAGGCATGTTGTAAATGCAAAAACCAGCTGCAGATGCATGTGGCTCCTGTCTTCTCCCAGTCTGCTCCTTGTTGGTGGGAATGGGATGTGGTGACTTCTGTCAGGTCCCCAGCCAGAGCCAAGAACAACTGACAGCCACAGATTGGTTCTTACTTAAGTCATGGCAGGTTTTCTCAGGTGTCACAAAAAGTATCACTAAGGTTCCTAATCCACCTGGGACTTCATTTCCTCATGGCAAGGCCTGTTTGAGA